CCACTGTATATACTGATTTTTACATACATTCACATAGTATAGTATTATGATAGAAAAACTGTAAAGATTGTTAAATGTGACTGTTTTGCTTAACTTGATGATTTTATATAGATAGACACATGCCTGAAACAAATTCAACACATTACTAAACTTTTACTTTTCATTAGGCTAGAAAATAATTGTCTGGAGGCAAGCCTCCACTTAGTGTAGTGACCCCCTTATCGATGACATAATCAAATAGGCGGAGCTGTGTCTTGGAGCCTGTGTTAAATTAAATTGTCTTCCTGGTTTGAACACTTGGTCATTTAACCGGTATTCAGCAGAGCGCTCTGGGTTTTGTATGATCTCTCTTTATTAATATTTTCCATGCATTTGTACATTCTCTGTATGGTTGAAGCACACAAACTGGTAAAGGAATATGCATAACAATATTTTCTTTCAGAGTGACAGGCAGCCACAAATAAAAGCAACCAGAGAGTAGGCTGTAAAATAAAGTAATGGCCATTATGTGTTGGATCATCACTAGATTAACTCAGTGTTAACATGATTGAATGAATACATTCTAAGAGTTACATTCAGCAGTTAATGGGCCATTTTGACTAGAAAAACATCTATCAGTGTTGGGGATGAAAAAAGGGGTGGGGGATTTTGTTGCAATGTCATACAACAATTCCAAATGATTAATTTTTTAGAAGGAAGTTCATGTCTTAGCTGCACGCCAATGCCTGCAAAAACAAGAAAAAAACCCTCAGCAAACAAAGTACAGAAATATTTTTCATAAACCTGTTGTCAAACAGAAGCAGCAGGTTTTTCCCCCCTCACAGAGGTCAGTTATTTCTAATCAGTCGTGTCCTCAGGTGAGGCCTCAGAGGGGGAATTTGTGGCATCAGACAAAACAAAAAGGTAACGTTGTTCTAGATGATCTTTAGATTCTGAGAAAACAATTGAGTTGTCAGGCAGTGATCAGTGCAGAAACAGATAAATGATGTTGGGTTGAAAAAAAAAGCATCCGTTCAGGTGGACAACTTGTTTTGCTCATTGTCAAAAAAACTAGTACTTTCAGGTAAAAGAACTGTGTTTTCATGTGGCACAAAAAAAAAAAAAAAAAAAAAACTAGTATTTTCAGGTAAAAGAACTGTGTTTTCATGTGGCACAAAATTAGAAAATACAACAAACTTCACTTTATAAATCTTAACCAGGTTTTGTTTTCCAAAGTAAATGTTTTGTGGTGTTCCATGTGTGACTTCCACATTGAAAGTTAAAACATTTAGGAATTAATTGAAATGGACTCTCAAGGTGAAACAGTAGGAACACTAAAAATGAGAGTCAAATAATAATGAAACCATTTTTATTTCCAGAATTGTCATTTTAAACTTTCCCATCAGATTCCTCTTGCAAAACTTTAAAGGGTTTTGTTTCATAGTCACAGTCATAATCATCTTGGCAGAACTCACAACAGTTTGGGGTGAACCATCTTGGACCACACTGTCCTGGCTTTACTGAAACACCCAAAAATGGTTATAACTCAAAAACTATTAAACATAGGAGCTTTAGATTTTCGTTGGTTGTTTAGCTCCGATGAGGGGCTATCCATCAGGTCAACCAATGCCCCTCAAATTAATTAATTAATTAATTAATTAATTAAAAAAGACCCCCACCCAAACCACTATCATTTTGGAATGCACCTAGTAGCATGACATTTATTAAGAATAAAGACTTCTGAGTTCTGGTGGGCTGGGAGCTGGGGCATGTGCCAGCCTGGCCTGGTGACTGCCTGCTGGGGCTCGGTGCCTCTGGCCCTGTTGGGCTTTGGCCTGGGGTGGGGGGGTGCACCCTGGGGGCCCGGACCTGTGTGCCCTTGCCTGGATCTGCTCTGGTGTGGCAGGTGCCGGCAGGGCCCATGAGTTTGTCGCTGCTGGCCCCAGAAGTTTACTGTGTGTTGTCACTGGGGGGACTCTCCCGATTCTCCCCTATGGTCTGATCTGGGGGTTGGGTGGGCGGATCTTCCCATGCGGGTGCCCCTTGGGGGCTCTGCACTCGGGATCCCTCTCGGGTCGTTGGGCTCTGGTCTCCCCTATGTCTGCGTC